ATCGCATCGAACATATGCTCTGCAAGCAATATGACCCCACACGACGTTAACAACCTTTTTGCAAGCACCATAGAGCTTACTCAACTAACCCCCCGTTCCCTATGTTTATAGGAAAAGCTTCACAAATCCTTACAGATGGAATGGGGAGTACAGTCCTCCCAAGACTACAAGTTAGGTCTGGTTGACAATGGAGCATATAATAAGTGAGTGTCCTCACGTAACATCGTCTCTGTTGACTTTGCAATGAGTCAACTATTCCGACTTGACCTAAACCAAATGCGAGAAAATTAAAAACACAATCAACGATGTTGGCTAGAGTTACACGAATTCATCCGAAATCTTCGACTCGTGCTCTGCAGTTATCGAACAGGTTTCTCAAATATTCGAAAAAAAATACAAAAATTGGACAAAAGGTCTTGAAAAAATGGTCAAAAATCTCCACTGCGAATGAATGTTTAACTCAAAACCTCATCAAGAAAGTATTCGCATTGCGTTCAAGTGGACTACCACTGAGTAGTTTAACGGTAACATGCATCAAATACATTGGCATAGATACATACATATGTATGTACGAGTACATAGTATGTATTTATGGTCTGTTGCAGACGGCTATCAACAAGTAGAAAAAAAGGACTTCATGATTTATGCAGATCAGCGCTTTTGTAGTATTGAAATTGGCTTTTGTGGTTTTATGTGAATTTTTTCTTGTCGAGGAAAAGTGACATGTCGAACCAATGTTGTATGATATATATGCTTGAGCGCAAAAAATTTAAACTATAACATTGTCCGCTGTTGAAAGATATTAAAAAGTTTTATATATATGTGAAAGCACAATGTGAAAGCACAATGTGAAAGCTCAATGTCATTGTAAGTGTTTCCGCGTATTGGTTGCATTCCAAAGTTATTCAATATTATATTTAGTGTCATATATCATATATTTTTATATATGTACAAACATAAATTATGGCAGACATATACATATATATTTCTTGCATTTGGTTTTAATAAAATTTTATTGCCCAAAATAAAAGACAATTTTATTGGGTGAAAAGTGCGTCAGCAGTCAAATCATTTTAAAGGGAATTTAAGTTTTTCTACAAGCTAAATAAATTAATAAGTGCAATTAAAATTGCAGTCAAAAAATTATATTTTTCCTTGCATTTTTCATTATAAAATAAATATTTGTATTTTTATTTATTTTTAATTTTTTTTTGTCTTTCACATTTGGCAGAAATAAATCGAGAATAAAGACAATGTTTTATTTTCTATTATGAATCTTTATGATAAACTTATATATATATATCATATATTTTCGCAAATTATTCGCACATACATACATATATGTATATGAATATAAATTTATGTATACTTATTGTGTGTTAAAGTACATTGAGTATATATGTATAATACATGTTTGAATATGGTACTTGAAAAATCGCATTGTGACCGAAATAGAAATGCCAACGCGCTCGCACATTTCATATTCAAAAAAATTATAAAAAATAAAAAAAATAAGAAAAGAAATAAAATATAATGAGGAAGAGCTCAATTCTTGACGAGCGAAAAATTGAAAATAATATAATATAATATAATATAATATAATAATAAATTAAAAATAAATAAAAAAATTAATAATATTAAATAAGTTAAAAATTACTTAAAAAAATTAAACAAAATAAAACTAAATAATTAATATTAAATAGATTAAAAATTAATTAAAACAAAATTAACTAAATTAATAATCAGAGAAATGAAACTAAAAAATATATAAAATGCTTATAAAATTAAGGTTAAAAAATGAACTAAAATAAAATAAACAAGATAAAACTAAGTAAATAATATTAAATAAATTAAAAATTAATTAAAATAAATTTAAACAAAATTAATAACTAAATAAATTGAATTAAAATTAAAAAAAAAATTATAAAATTCTTAAAAATTTTAAATAATAAATGAAATAAAATAATATTAAATAAAGTAAGACTAAACAAAAAATGTTAAATAAGTTAAAAATTAATTAAAAAAAAATTAAACTAAATTAATAATTACAAAAATTAAAATTAAACACTATAATAAAATGCTTAAAATAATTGAAAATATAAATTAACTGAAATAAAATTAAACAAAGAAAAACAAAATAAATAATATTACATAAATTAAAAATAAATTTAAAAAAATTGAACTAAATTAAAAATTAGATAAATTAAATTAAAAAATATAATAAAGTGCTTAAAAATAAAAAAATGAAATAAAATAAAATTAAACAAATTAAAACTAAATAAAAAATGTTAAATAAGTAAAAAATGAATTAAAACAAAATTAAACTAAATTAATAATTAAATAAATTGAATTAAAATTAAAAAAAAAATTTTAAATTCTTAAAAACTTTAAATAATAAATGAACTAAAATAAAATTAAACAAGGTAAAACTGAATATAAAATGTTAAATTAGTTAAAAATGAATTAAAATAAAATTAAACAAAATTAAACTAAATTAATAATTAGATAAATTCAATCAAAAAAATATTAAAAATGCTCAAAAAATTTCTAATAGAAAGGAACTAAAATAAAATCAAACAAAAATAATAAATGAAACTAAAAAAAAATAAAAAGTATTAAGTAATTTAAAAATAAATTAAAATAAAATTAAACTGAATTAAGAATAAGATAAATTAAATTAAAAATATAATAAAATGCTTAAAATAAGGGAAATTAAAAATTAACTGAAATAAAAGTAAACAAAGTAAAACTAAATAAAAAATATTAATTAAATTAAAAATGAATTAAAATAAAATTAAACAAAATTAATAATTAAATAAATTGAATTGAATTAAAAAAAATATTATAAAATGCTTAAAAACTTTAGATTATAAATGAACTAAAAAATTAAGCAAAATAAAACTAAATAAATAATATTAAGTTAATTTCAAAAATTAATTAAAACTAAATTAAACTAAATTAATAATCAGATAAATTAAATTAAAAAACATTTAATAAAATGCTTAAAATACTTATAATAGAAATGAACTTTGATAAAATAAAATCAAAAAAAAATAAAACTAAATAAAAAATATTAAATAAATTAGAATAAAATTTAACTAAATTAATAATTACATAAATAACAATTAAAAAATACAATAATATGCTTAAAATAATTAAAATTAAAGTTAACTAAAATAAAATTAATCAAAGTAAAATTAATAAAAAATATTAATTAAATTAAAAATGAATTAAAATAAAATTAAACTAAATTACAAATTAGATTAATTAAATTAAAAAATATTATAAAATGCTTAAAAAATTTAAAATAAAAATGAACTTAAATAAAATTAAGCAATATAAAGCTAATAATGTTAAATAAGTTAAAAATGAATTAAAATAAAATTAAAATAAAATTAAACTAAATTAATAATTAGATAATCTAAAATAAAAAACATTTAATAAAATGCTTAAAACACTTATAATAGAAATGAAATATGATAAACTAAAATTAAACAAAATATATCTAAATAAAAAATATATATAAATTAGAATAAAATTTAACTAAATTAATAATTACATAAATTAAAATTAAAAAATACAATAATATGCTTAAAATAATTTAAATTAAAATTAACTAAAATCAAATTAAAAAAAGTAAAACTAAATAAAAAACATTAATTAAATTAAAAAAAATTAAATAAAAAATTAAACTAAATTAATAATTAGATAAATTAAATTAAAAAAATATAATAAAATGCTTAAAAATTTTAAATTATAAATGAACTACAAAATTAAGCAAAATAAAACTAAATAAATAATGTTAAATAAGTTAAAAATGAATTAAAATAAAATTAAACAATATAAAACTAAATTAATAATTTGATAAATTAGATTAAAAAAAAATAAAATGCTTAAAATAATTTAAATTAATAAAAATATAATAATATAAAATAAAGTGAGTTAAAATATTAATATTTAATGATTTAACTGACTTCCACTGACTTAAGAAATATTCATTATATATATTAATAACAAGACATAAAAAACGAATTATTGCCAAAATCATTGGTTTTCTCCTAACACACACATTACTCTTCAATTTATACTAATTTAATTATTTAAGAACCATTTATTATAGAGATTTATGTGATAATTTGCACATTCTTTTTATTTTTTCTGTAGTTTTTCATGTTAATTTGTATGTCGGTGTATGCATGTATATATTCATAGATAAATTATTAGTTTTATTTTATTTTGTTATTATTTTGTTTTTGCTTTTTATTGATACAGCAAATAGGAGTATACATACAGAGAGATAGGTGTACATAAATCAAGTTTTTTTTTGTTTTGTTTTTACTGTTAAACACAGGCGGACAGGTGGAGAGATGAAGAATATAAGAATAAACCAATCTCTACTACTCGACTAAACTAATGGGAAAATGTTTTCTTTTGCAAATTAGTTTCTATTTTTGTGTGTTTTATTTATTTTTATTCATTACTATTCCACACGCGAACAATCGTTGACATTTATGCAATTGTTTGATTGTTTATATTATATAAAAATATATTTATAAATTAGTTTGCCGTATTATGCAATTAATTCTGCACACAATCCGTTAAATGGTATATTTAACCGTTTTTACACAAATATTACATAAATTTGTTACAAATAACATTTAAAAAAAATATATTATATTTTTATCATTGCTTTGCTATTCACAATTAAAATGAAAACTTTCCCATCACTTCCGCAGCATTCAATAACTAAATCAACCACAAAGATTTTCACACAATTGTACCTTGAAGACTACCCCCAGAAACTCTCACGCGCACTCACATACAATGTATTTTGTAAAATTAGCGAAAATGAAAATTCGTCACGCGTCACTGACGTCGTCAAAGGTCTGCCATTGACACTCGCGTGCGTACGCCTTGAAAATTCTATTTTATAAAAATATTCGCTGTCTTCGCAGACTAGCCGTTGAACTAGCGCACGGCGTTCTGAAATACCAACCGACCGTATTGTGGTGAGCACAAGTGAAATTTTTGTGAATTTTTCAAATTGTCGTGCAGAACACTTGAATTTTGAAATGAAACTGTCACAGCTGATCGTGAGTGCCGTGGTGGAAGCATATTTACATACGAGTATACATACATAGTTTAAGAAATTGCTTTAGCTCTCTTTATACTGAGATGACGAGTATGGCGACGAAAGAGAGGCGTTCTTCTTCATTTCTTTTGATATTATGTTGAGCGATCGAGTGTTTTGGAAAGCTATGAACTTCAGATTACGGTTTGGCTGGTCGACCAGTTTATGAGCTTAAATGTTGCGTATACGCCATGTACGTCTATTTAACTTTTATACAAAAATTGTATGCAAAACCAACAGGATTTATGTATTATGTCCAATTATGACATTGTAAAGAATTATAAAAGAATTTAAATTAAATATTATCTAGTACAAAATATTAGACTCTTTATTGTATTATTGATCCAGCTCGAGCCCACCAATCTGTTCTATGTTCATTCACACTCAACCACAGAATAATAATAATGTGAAGCGATCAAGACCTACGCACGATCACTGCTTATATCCAAATCAAACCAATTTTTGCCAATCTGTCAGTGATCCTGCTTCGCTGCTTCGTCTGCTTCGCTAGACGACGAGCAGAATGGTCTATCTGTTTATCTAAGCTAAAGGCCACCTACACGTGTATGTACCAAATATTATAATAGCGGAATATATCAGCCCCTGGTCCACTTGCCGGTGTGAACATTTATATACATTAATATATATATTATACAATATATATACGGAAATTCCTATTAACTGATCAAGCCATTTCGGTGGAGTTTGGGGTAACTGCTGCGGCTGATTCAAATAAATCCAGTCGATAGCTCAATTTTCGACCTCTTCTTGTAGCGTATACTCGCCCAAGGCATTAATGGACTCAACGTAAGCCCACAAAAAATGGTCCAGCGCTGCTGAATCGCACAATCTTGAAGGCCACGACACAAGCCTACGACGAATATTCTCTTCAAAGGCGTCAATTGACTCGAATTCAACTGCGTAGACAAGCGACTTCACATAACCCGGCAAAAAAATAGTTTTGGAGAATTAAATCGAGCGATCTTGGTGGCAGGAAAAATTTATTAGTCATGGCTCTATAGTATTCCCCATTGACTGTAACAGTATGTTAGCTTCATTAAAAAAAAAAAAAAAAAAACAAATAATATGGACCAATGATTCTTTCTGCTAATAGAGCACAACAAACTGTGACATTTTGACTATGGGTAGGCGTCTCAACAATGACTTAGGGATTACCATCACACCGAATGAGACAATTTTGTTTAATAACGTACCTATCGAACCAAAAGTAGGCCTCATCTTTGCAGAAAACTTTGCTTGCGAAAATCGGGATAGGTAGTCATCTCGTTTTGGGCCGATTCTCCGAACGTGTGACACACTTGAGTTTGAATTTTGTATGCACGCAAACCAAGATCTTTCCACAAATCCACAAAATCTACCATAAAGTGAATGGACACAGCTCGTTGGAGTCTTCTTCGTTAATCTGTTCCGCAGCAGCAAGAGCATCTTCGGTGCGCACCGTATGTCGTTTCTGAGGATGCGCATTATTAGAGTGAACGCGTGATCTGAAAGCCATCCTTCACTGCTCGAATCACCAGCTCTGCTGGGCGAATATGTCGAAGCAATCTTGGACACATCTCACGCTATGCGTTGTGCGGCTGAATTTTGGTTTTGATAATAAATTTGCAGAGTTTGACAACGTTGTTCCGGATTAAGTCTGTTCGTTGTGAAGGTATAAATCAAGTAACTACGCGATATAGGCATGTTGGCCTTAGCACGTATAAGAAAGTCTAGCAAAGGTTTTTCGACTTTAGTACCAGTTCTTGCCAAAAGCTCTTTTACAGGCTTATAGAGTGGAAGGTCTTCCCATATCTCTGAGCTCTATATATATGCTCTTGTCTACTCACTTTTTTTCACAATATGACTTCTAAAAACTTGGATTTTGCTTCCAAGCTAAGATGAAATGCGTTTGGAGCCGTTGAATTGATTGCGGAAATTTTGTATATCCTGCTGAAGCGCATATGCTCCACATTCTTAGAGTTAACACGTAGTCTACTGTGAATGGCGCACTGCAATACCTTATATCCCAGCCCTGTGTATCTCCATACTTTCGACTGGAGTATTGAAAAATTATTTTTCTAATTTCGGTCACACCTCGGCAGGAAATATCAAGCCATCTGAGTGTATTTCTGACATTGAAAAATATGTCCTCCGTTCGGAGGTAGGTCCCTCCAATTTTTCGAAAAACTTCATGATGCACACCACAAACTAGAGGAGTATATATTTGAAATTCAGAAATAAAAATATTTTTGATTAAAGTTTAATTTTCCCATAAACTACTCAGCCGTTTTCGAGCCGCATACAATTTATTTTTGGTTTTTATTTATTTTTACGTGTACTCTTCAGGTTTCATTTTTATGCTTAATTAAAATTTACGAGCTCTTATTTGTGCACTTACTTATTACTTCAACGAATACAAAATATCATTCACTGCATTTATTTGTCGTTAATGTCAGGATTTTTTATTATCTTCTACTTTCTCACCGGCAGGACGAATAAAATTGGTATATATGCCCACTCATACATACATATGCCGCACTCTACCATCTACGAGTACGTATGTATGTATTCGCTAACTTTTTTGTTTTTTTTTTTTTGTTTACTTTACTTTGACTTTTAAGGTCGCCTGCAGCGAGAGACAAGGACATCGATTTAACGTAAGCAAATAAAAATCAACACATACAGACCTACATGCATACATATATACAGATAAAAAAACAGTTAACAGAGATGTGCATAAGCAGCTATATATATACTTACACATATGTCTCTATAACACACACACAAATATATTGTAGTACACTATGCCGTGCGCCTGAAAGTATGCTCCACTTTCATTATCTGTTTATTTAGCATTTGTCGAGGACGTACAAGGGCAGGGTTGTAATGATATACAAACATTAGCTGCTTGAAAATTCAACGCTTTGCCGGCAAAATGTTAATTGAGTGTTGGCTAGTGTAAATAATTCAAGTTTTTGTACCGCTTTAGAAAGAAAGAAAATACGTCTATTTTCGGCGTAGCATAAATGTAAGTAAAAGTTTTATTAAGACAATTTCAATATCATACAAAACGTGAAATAATATGAAAAAAAATTAAAATGTTTACCTGATGATGATAAAAGAAAGCTTAAATATATTAAGTAATCACATGAAATTAACTACAATTAAAATTAATTTCATTTAAATATATTTTTTAGCATTTAGGTGCATATCTTTGCTAACATAAAGTTTGCGGCGCCTAATTGTAGGCCAAGTTTTATTTACAATCAAAAGGAATAAAAGAACAGCCATCATAAAAGCATCTCCACATCGCTCCACACACAAATGACAGATGATACCTTATTTTTCGGTAATTTGCTTTGCCTTTTGCAAGCCACAGAGCCATAAAGAGCTTGGTAAGAAAAAAATATTTATTTGTATACCCACATAAGTAAGTAAAGTACTTTCACTATTGAAATGTGTCCTTGTGTTGAGAATTTATTCAATTTCCCACAGTCTACCAGTTGGTTTTCATATTTCATTTTATTTTATTTTATTTCATTTTATTTTATTTTATTTTATTTTATTTTATTTTTTATTATATTTCATTTGCTTGAATTACATACTTTGGCCTGGTTGTTGTAAACTTTTTGTGAAAGCCTACAAAATTATATTGTTATAATGTTGGCAGTTTTAAGAGTAGGCTGACTTATGTACACCTGAGTGCTGAGTTATGGCAGGTAAGAGTACTTACATATGTATTTGAATATAATGTACATAGTGGTGGCTGCCATTTTTACGAAAGATGTGCTTATTTGCTGCCGCGGTAGCCGTGTGATTGGTATAGCCTTCTAACATTTAAAAGGTCGCGGTTGGAGTCCTGGCTCGACCGACAACTAAAAATTATAGCAAATTCATTACGCCCCACGGCAGTGAATGTCAAGTCCTCCGAGTGTAATTCTGACTTGAAAATAAAATCTCCTCAAGGAGATCCACCGATCGTTCGGAGGCAGCTTAGAATAAACTGTAGGAGCTTGGCCGAAAAATCGCTCCAATGGTTATTCACGTGTTTATATCCCCGTGCCTACTGTAAGAAGCAGCTGATTGACAATATTGGTTTAAACGTGATAAGCGTATGCGTATCCAAGGATCTTGAAAACCGAATTCGGGACTCTTTTGCTTATTCCATTCCAAGGTGAAGGCTCGTTTTTTCAATTTTACTGGCGTAGACACCGCTTACGCGATTATAGCCGAGTGCGCTTTCACTTCTGCTTTTTGTTATTGCCACTTGGAAATATCAAGTACAGTCAGGTTCTTCTCCAGCTGCTCTTGCCAGCTGAGTGGGGGGAGAGGGAGATCTTTTTCTACACTTTCACTGGCGGGTACTGCATCGCAAACTTTCATATGTGGAGTATACTTATCCATCCAGACTACTGCTCATCGTTCCATCGGCTACGGTAATCGACATTTCAAATGCGCAGAGGACCGTAAATCTGACACAAAACTCTTCTATTGAAAAGTCATCAGTTGTTGTAATTGTAGAGTTGACTATATGTTCGCCGGGAGACTTTTCAATTCCCTACCCAGTCCAAAGTAGTAGCTGTTGGCAAAAATTATTCTGAGTTTGATGTCAAAGCTGAGTTTGTTATTAGTATTAGTGCTGCTTTCAAGATAGACGAAGTTATCCACGACCTTGAAGTTACACTGCGCGACAACCGATTAGCACACCCTATGCTGCTCGTCTTAGAAACTTAATATCAGGAAAACTAAAAAATCTTTTCAAATAATTTTTTTCCCTTAAAATAATATATAATTTCACACGAAAATTAATAGAATATAGGATACTAACTTTATTAATAACATTTTAAATTAATATAAACAAACATAACATACAAAATTCTCTATTATTTTTACGACAGCCGATTAGCACAGTCACTTGAAAACCAAAAGAAAATGGGTTCAAACTCCATTCAAGCTGGTTTTTAATATTAATTTAAATATTTTTAACTTTTTTTTGAAAACAAATTAATAATGTGTTGAGCCTCGGCGGCCAAGTCAGTAATTCCACGTTTTGACCATCAATCCAGGACTTTACAATTCTGGCTGTGTGGATAGGTACGTTGTCTTGCTGGAACTTCCATTTCAAGGGTCCAAAAATATCCTTGACTGCAGGGAAAGCCGTC